TTACAAATGTCTCCCTTTACAGAACTCATTCAATGGCAGGAGATAAAAATTGCGTTGAGGAAAGCCATAGTGCTTTTATGTAATCACCTTTAAAGTATTACTGTTAACTTTTAAAGCTCTCAATAATCTGGCGCCTCCGTATTTAAGTCAACTTGTAGTCCCATATAACCCTACAAGAAATCTTAGGTCAGCTAGCAAACATTTATTAGAATTACCGAATGTGCGCCTGAAGAGCTATGGGGACAGGGCCTTTTCGGTCGCTGTCCCAAAGCACTGGAATGATATTCCCTTAGACATTAAATTAAGTGGATCAGTTGATGTTTTTAAATCTAGATTGAAAACTTATCTTTTTAGACTCGCTTTCAATTGACTTTTTGTTTTAGTGCTATTGTTAGTTAGTTATTTTCTTTTTTGATTGTAAAGCGATATAGAGCTTTTGTATATACCGCTATACAAATAAAGTTATTATTATTATTATCACCATGTGATGGCACCACATCATGGGTTTGCTTTATGTTACACATTTGGTTATGCCATGAACTTCCTCGCAGAGAATTCCCAAGTTTACCCTCCTGTGCCATTGGAGTGGCACAGGAGCCAGAATGTGGCATGCTTGGTGTGGCAGGTGGGTCGACATGGATCTCGAACGGTAGACCTTCACCACTTGGCAACCCCCGATGGAGGCATTTGGTGAACATGGAGGAGCCATTCCCTGATTGTTTACTTTAGTTAGGTCCTGTGACTTGGGCAATTTCCTTGTGTTACACAGGAAATATTAATTGCGTATTCACAAACAACAGTGCTCCTTGCAAGAGTGACCTCCCTTTTTCTTTTTCTTTTTTGAAGCACAGCCTTGCAAAAGGTTAGGGACAAAAATAATTCTCTCTTTTTTCTCTTTACTAGCTGTTGAACATTAAGATTCGGTTACTACTTGCAACCGCCAGTCAGTTAATGGTTTTCTGAATAAAAACCAAGAAAATGATAGGGTCCTCCTGTGTGGCTTGCTATGCATGGAAAGTTACGCAACCGCGTTCCCAGGTTCTCTTTCCTACCCGTCGAGAGACCCCGGTTGGCTCTGGTCACGTGTCTCCCAGAATCTGGGGGAGGGGCGAATAAGTGTGAGATTTGTCCCTAAAAAGCGTAGACGTCGGGTTTAGTGGAAACTGTCTACCTGCCCTTGTCTAAAAGGTCATGTTTTTTATAGTTCCCGGACTAGTCAAGACAAAATCTCGAACGCCTAATCCTTTGAAAACAAAAGTGTAACTTCCTGAAGAATATCTGGATGTTTATCAGATGTTGCAAAGGAAATCGCGGATTCGCCACTTGTGCAGTCAAAAATGTTTCAGGCGGTTGTATTCATACCGAAACGCGCTAGATTTGAATTGTCATTTTTATGTTGTGGAGGCCACTTTAAAAAGCAAATGTATGTATTTTCAAGACTACGATTATGCAGTTCGAAAGGGCGTGGAAAAGATGTATCAACCGTTCCCATCCTCACCTACCTCGAAAATATTAAAATCAAACAGAAGCAACAGGAAGAGAGAATACGCCGCCCGGACTCAGTTTGATTGTTCAAATTTAAAGAGATAAACCAAGAATCTTGGAAGAATGCACTTCTATCTACGGCTCTGTTTTGTGTTTTTGTCGTCGTTTAAAATCAACAGGATAGCCGTAAGCTTCGTTGTTACACGACCTGTTGTTGCACGACTATCATCCGTTTATTGCTCTATATTAATTAACTCTTCCAATTGAGAGTGGTTCGCATAAAGGTTCTATGCCAGGTACCACGCAAAAAACACACAAAAAGTAATGATAAACATTCTGGTGACATGGAAGGGCTTAAATCTAGGGGTAAGGGGACCAGAAGAGAAGCTCTCCTGGGGGGAGACAAGATCGAGTGGTACCGGGGGTAGCCACCCTGGACAGGAGTCCTGATCAGTCTCTGGGGGTGAGGCCCATATCCCCCAGTCACTAGGAACTAAGGGGAACCAGGAGGGGTGGCCCTTATCGGTGGAGTACAGATCAGATGGGACCGGGGATGCACACCCTGGAGTGGATATTTTTCCGGACCTGTCTCCAAGGGCTAAGCCTTACTGTGGGGTAAAGTGCTGCCAGGGGTTGCACTTCCCTGCCACGGATTGTGCAGCATGGGGAGACGGGACACAGTCCCCCCATAGTAGAAGGCAAATAAAGTCGGGCTCTTGTTTGCAGAGGGAGCCATACCTTCTGCTCCAATGAGACTTCGCAAATGTTTAAACAAAAGTTACAAAAAGACACTAGCTGTCTTAATGTTACTTATGGACTAGTATTAGCTGAGAGTCTAGGTACTTCTAAAATGTACATTTAGGTGTCCATATACAGCATTCATAACAGTCTGAGCTCCAGAAGCCGAAAACTTTAATAGGCCCGGGTGGAAGGGCAGCTTTGGCTACTGTTGTGGCGGCTCCAACACGAAAACTGGGGGAGTAGAAATTGGTGACAGGGATACCACAGTGTTGAAGAATTGTCCTACGCTCTGTTGTGAGATTGTTCTGTGCAAGCCAACGTCTGGACGAAGAGGAAGAGAGGGTGGCTTGATGGTGGCTGGGCTTGAAGGAGATAGTCAATCATGGCCATCACCGAACAGATAGGTGACGAGGACTTTGCTATGGTGATCAGATTGTGTAGCCCTGTCTGAAGGGGTCGGGTTTGGATTGTTTGATGTGGACTAGCATGTTGCTGGGTGAGTGGGAGTTGGGTACCAGTGTGTTGTCATTGGAAGTGAGGTGGACAGAGGTCGAATTGGCCATTGCAAGAGAATTTACTGGATCTTAAAACCCGGTAAGGCCGTCCAAAGCATAGCATGATACATAACAAAAACCATGCGTGAGGTTAAAGGTGAGGAAGTGCTTGACGCCAACTTGATAGGTGCGTCAAGTGGAAGATGCTAGGTAAGCATGAAGATATCGCTGTACAGAACCTCAGGTGTTCATCGCTGATGGAGGGATGGTGGAGGCTGTGGAAGCCAGAGTACGGAAGTGGTCCATCTGAATGTGGGAAAGGGAATCAGCAATAGAATTGTCTAAGCCCGGGAAGTGAGTAGCTGTGAATGCGAAGTTATATTGGAGCGTTTGAAGTGTGATTACTCGAATGAGGTCTATTACCCGGGGGGGACTTGGAGTGTTTAGAGTTTATGCTGGCCACCACTGACATGTCGTCACACCACATAGAGATCCCTTTTCCCGGACCAGCAGGGACCCCACAAAATACAAGCCAGGTATTTGGAAATAGCTCCTGCCATTTAATACTAATACCTCTTTTTTTGGCTGAGTGTGTTGGGGGAGCCAGTGGCCTTGGAACCATTCAGCTGCTAAGAACCCCCCATTCCCAAGGGAACCAGATGCATCAGTGTATAGCTGAAGTTCCAGCAAGGAGGTGGCCTGGGTATCTAAAAAGAGGGACACCCCGTTCCAATTTTGGACAAAATGTTGCCGCATAGTAATATCCTTACGGAAACCTGAATCAAGGCGAATGTGCCAGTGAGGGAACTTGATACCCTTTGTAAGATGGATAATGCGTTGCAATAAGGGGTGACCAGTGGCAACAACCTTACAAGCGAATTGAAGGGTGCCAATCAGAGACTGGAGGTACTGTAAAGTATCAGATTTCCTTTTGGTCCACTGACTAAGGGCTTCTTGAATGCGGGTAAGTTTATCTACTGGGAGACGGGCTTCCATTTTATTGGAATCTAGTAGGATAACCATAAATTCAAGGCTTGCACATGCAGGGAAGGTTTTTCCAGGAGCTAAAGGGGTTATTTAGATGTGTAAAATTTGGCATAGACTAGTCATGCATTTTGATCAGGGAGAGGAGGTAGCAAAGACGAAATCATCTAGTATATGAATAACCCTGGAATATTAAGTTTAGTTCGAATGATCCATTCAAGAGCAGAAGAGAATTCATCAGAAAGAAAGAGGGCAGATCTGAGACTGAATGGGAGGATATATCGAAGAAATAGAACCCCTCCCATTTTATACCCGACAGTTCCCAATCCGAGGGATGGACAGGAGCATTGCAAAATGCTGATTTTATATCTAGTTTGGACATGAAGCATCCTAGGCCGAGGTCCTGAAGTACTGCAATTGTATGGTCAACCTTAATGTATTGCAAAGAACAGGACTTGGGAGGAATGTGGCCGTTGACATTGCTGGGGCAGTATTTGGTATACGAGAGGTCGAATATGGTACGCCATTTGGAGAAATGTTTCTTGGGAATGACGTCAGTGGAGTATACCTGCAGGTTTTACAAGAGAGAGGTGCAAAAGGTCCCGCTTTGTCGCCCATGGTAACCTCTTCAAGCATGTTTTTGTCAATAATAGATGGATTGATATTTGCACCGGGAAGGTTAGGATATTCCTTGGGGGCCCTTGGACCTGAATGCCCAATCTTAAACCCCTCAGAAAACCCTGGGAGAAGATGGTTAACTGTTGGTTGATCTGGATGGCCCTGAAGGTAGGATGCAAGTCTGTCAATGTCAATGGGGGTGGGAGGGGTGAGTTGGGAGAGGTAATTAGGAGTGTCCTCAGGAAGAATTGCCAGAGCTTGAAGACGATTTTGGTCTGTCCTCTCTGTGGCGGGTGAGTTTAGCGTGGTCTTCCCAAGAGTGGGCTGCTGAGCATCCGGGCTAGTTACACCTGTGTTGGTAAGGGCATGGGGTGCGAGCTTAGGGTCAGCCTTTGTTAAAGTTGTAGTTAAAGTTGGCTTGGTGGGGGCATCCCGAGAACTACGGACAGATAAAGGGCAGGAATCAGAAAGATGATTGGTGCTGCCACAGGATCGGCATCCAGATTTTGTTATTCCCATTAAGGTATCAAGGTAGAGCTGGACGTCCTGTTCCCCCCACTCACCTTTGGAACTCCACATCATAAACGTACCAAACCATCCCAGGGGATTTTTGTACCGCATCTTGTATCAACTGTTGATAGGTTATTACATCTGCTGCATGAGAGGGATACACAGACACTATAACTGTGAAATAGATGATGAAGGCATCGAGCCACCAATCAATAGCGATGATTTTGGGGCGTTTGGAAGAGGAGGGATTGTTAAACCTTCATCGCCTACCTTAAGGTTAAGTTGGGAATGGATGGTGTCCGTCACAAGGGAGGTCATTGGTAAAAGGGTAGTAAAGTTCATGTACTCACCGTTCGTGATGGCCATCGAGGTGGCCTTTGTAAGATGGCTGGCGAGGGAAGGCTGTCGGAAGTTCAGGTGAAGCAACGCAACTTGAGCTGGATCTGAAACATCGACGGAGGAAGAAAGGGAAGGAAGACCAGAAGAAACAGTGGTGTTGGAGAGGAGATTACCCATTGGAGGATTGTGAAGGAAAGGAAGTTGTTGGCGTGTCACATTAGGTTGGCCACCAACTTGCGGCGGTGAAGGAGTAGTGAGCCTGAGGCTCTCTTGAAGGTTGGGTGGAGGACTGGGCCGAGCAAGCTGGGCATTACTAGCTCCGCCATCTCGGATTGCTCGTCCGCTATGGAGGGGATTAAGGCTGCCAATTCTGCGTGTGGAACGCCATCGGCGACAGTGGAGTTCGTCGGGGCACTTTCTGATTGTGGGGCTGGCGGCCGTTTGCTGAGCATTCTGTTAGAGTCATGAGATGAATTCGCGACAATTACCGGTTTGCTGGAGGTGACGTTCTCCCAGCAAGAGGCGAAGGGGTTCAGTCGACATGGCACTGAATTCTGTTATTTCTGCTGTTGCATTGGCACCATGTAATACAGCATTGCAACGGTTCTGTTTGTCCTTTGCCTTGACATGGTGCACTGAGATATAGAAGTCGATCAAAGCATGGCGATTTGTGTGGAAGTAGACCCAGGCGAAAAAACGCTGTTGTGAATGAACCAAAGCCCTAAGAGAAGTGACGGGGAAAGGACAGTGTATGGCAAAAAGAGGAGCACATGTGCATGATGAGCATGTGATATTATGAAGGGACCTTTGTGGAGTCTAGAAAATACATCATGCTAAGTTACAGTGGACTTTGCCAGAGGAGAAGACGACATTGCAATCAAACAATTACTTACTGTTCATTGTTCTTTCTTGTACTTTGAACTAGTATCTACCATTACATAGTACAACAGCTTATTGAAATGTTGAAGCTTGTGTGACCAAAGAACAGAGATATGATTGTTGCTAGTAGGTGTGCTTTCATTAGGTATAATTTTCAGGTTTATTAACATCAGTTTATGCTACCATAAACTTGAACTGTAATATTCTGGAGGGTTAGGTATGCTTTAGAGGATTTCAAAAAATCACTGAGCTACATTTGTTTTTTAATAAAGTTTTCATATGGACCATATACAAGAAATCCTTTTGCTGGGATGGTTATCACTGGGTTATGTTGTCTGTTTTGTCAGTGTTTATACTCTTTCCTGTTCTCTTCAGTGTCTTTTGGTCATTCTTTGCTTGTATGCACGCACTATATCAAATTTCCGCCCCCCCCCCCCCCCTTTTTTTCTAAATAAAAAAATACCCCACACCCCCTTTGTTTTTTCCCCTCTCAGTTGTTGTGTTTGTCTTAAGTTATTTTATCACCCATCCTAACCCTTCAACCAAGAAAGGAGTTCTCTTCTTTAATACTAAAAGCAACCTTCAAATTTTTCTTCTTTCTTTTCTGTTCTGTGTCTTTTGGGTATTCTTTGCTTGTATGCACGCCCTATATCAAATTTCCCCCCCCCCCCCCCCCATTTATTACTTAAAATGATACGACACCATAACTGCTTTGTTTTGTCACCGCTAAATGGTGTAGGTTTTGCATGTACTAATTCGAGCCGATTACCAGCCAGTTCAACGAACAGGGATTTTCCCTTCAATAAATAAACACGCTTGAGTAAAACTCAAGGTTGTAGATTTTAGTGATTGGTGTCATCGGTTAAAGTGCGACAACGCAAGTTTTTCATTCCTTCCCTGGTAATTATCTGGTGATAGTTCTGTTTAGGCAGAAATTTCCCAAATTTCGGTTGTAGTTGTAGGGTTAGCAAATCTATCTTGCTCTTGCGATCATTGTGTGAACGGTGAAAACGAGCCAGACAAAATAATTGAGAGACAAAGGACTCCTCCCTCCCCAACCAGGGTCGCTCGCTCGCTGGCTCGCTCGCTCTCTCTTCCGCTCCCTAGGGACGTGTGGGAGAGAACCCTGGGAACGAGGTTGCAAGTCACGCGGTCTTTGGTGTGTGTACTGGAAAATTATTGTAAATGTTGCTCATTGTAGAAAAAAGAAGAAATTGCAGAGACCAATGACGTTTTCAAAAAAATGTGAAAAAACCTGCTATGTGCTGAAGACTTAGAGAAGTATTGTATTTAGCCCCAGCTTTGGGCTGAAGTAGTGGAACTGTTCTTGCCTTCATTTTACTCCTTTTTCTATGACCTCACATATTTCTAGGGATACTTGGTCTCCATTAAGGAATGCATTTTAACCTATGGACAGGTTCCTTGAAGATCATTAATTCCTTGAATTGTCATTGCCATTTAACTTGACCAAAGGTGTTGGCTATGCTGAGCTGGCTGAAAACTGTTATATACACGTACAAGAGAAATGCATAATTCCAGACTCAAGAAAATTTTTATTGTTCATTCTGATATCAAAACGCTTAATGTACATCACATTGCTCTGGTCAGGAATAGGAACTTTCATTCCTTTTGATCTCTTTTCTTTTCTTTTCTTTTTTCTTTTATAACAACCGGGAATATATTTATAAGTATGAAAGTAACCTTAAAAATATTTAAAAACTTAAATATCAATTTGAAACACCATAAATGTAGGATAAACTCAAGATGTCATATGACAACAAATATTGTAATATCTTCAAATATTATTATTGTATTAGTGAAAATATATGTAAACCTTGTGGTCATTAATCAGAAGTCGGTACCATATCAAAGCAACACCACTGAAGGAAATTTATCTCAGTATCTGCGAGAGAGAAAATAAAAGCCACGTCTTGTTTGATCAAACAAAGAATGGTAGACTTAAATGCTCTCCCTTACTACCATGTTATGTTTAACAAAGGGTTTCCATTTGCTTCGCTAGGAGTTTATTTTGCAGAATGTTTCTGCTCAAAAATTCATTTGTTTCTTTTGTTGCTAAAATATAATCTTATAGACAAGCCTTTTCAGGAGTGTTATATCATTAACATTAATTGACTATAACAACATGATAAAATTGACGCCACATGAGGTTTTACATGTGTGTTGGACCATTTGTTTACTTTGTTTGCTAACACGTAAGGAAGGGTACCAAACTTATTGAATTGTTGAATTTAAAGTTTGGTCAGTTAATCTTTAATGTTAAAAATTGGGTTTTTATTTAATTTTAGCTTCAAAATTAATCATCATTATGCCGTGCATAATGTATGATATGACATAAGGATAATCATATTTAGTATATACTAAAACAGTGGATAGTGTTTTTCGCGCGCTCTGATTGGCTACTCAATCAGTGAATATCCTGCACTATTCACTGATTCACCTCCAGTTCCTCCATGCGAGCGAGGTTGCGAGCAAAATGCTTTACCGGTTTGCTACCGTAACAAACTAAGAAATTTCACAACTAATCAAGCAAGCTATTTCCGAAATATATGAAGAAGGTGACGAAGTTGGGTTTGGAAGTTTTAACAGGTAAAGCATCGTCTTTTTGACTTGAATAGTTATGGATAAAACTGGTGAGAAAGTTTTTTTGTTTACAAATGCAAATTAAGTTTAAGTCTTGCGTTACTTTATTTAGTTGACTTGTTCATAAATAAGCTTAAAACTAAATTTAATAATCTTTTTTACAGAATTATTTTAAAATACAAACAGAATTCACAACTCCTTTTGAAGAAACTTTCCCGCAAGAGCTAAACAAACGCCTTCAAAAGTTTTATTTGTCGCTAAGAAAAAGCGACGACTGCAGCCGTTTGGTCATTGCGCGCCAAAATTGTAAGCGTTGGCAACAGTAAATGTGTTAAAAATCATCATTTTGTGCTCAATTATCTCACTGTTTTAGTACCGGGTATATACTAAAACAATCATTCACCTCAGTGTCGGTGGCTAGTAGTACTCAATAGTAGCCACCTCCACTTCGGTGAATAATTGTTATATATCTAATTATAATCTTTAATACATAGTGTAAAAAGATAAACCTATTTGGAGGCATCCTCGCCTCTTTAAGGGAAAGAGGTTATAGAGATTACAAGTAAATACAATTGTTACTTAAAAATATGAAATATAGTTACCCAGTCTAAATCTTCCAAGAGATTTTCTGATTCATAACTGTGTAGAAATTAAAAAACGCCAGGCAAGTCATTCTTTTGCAAAAAAATGCAATAAAATTGTTTGTTGGTTTCTCTATACAGTTGTTCAAAATCTTAACTAATTTAATTTTCGGAGAAAATAGCTCATATAGTTGAACACTTTGTTGTTCACGAAGAATTGAAAGGCAAGAACAGTACAGATATTTTAAATTCCTAAGTGAATGGAAGGTTTTTTCATAAATGAATGTAAGTTATGTTATCAGCTCATACTGATAAAGTCAGGGGGCCTATCTAATGATTATGTTAAAAAAAAAAAAACACAAGACTGACAAGGAGATATCGTTCTGGCGACTGATCTATTTTTAGACTTAAACAATATTTTTGTGGTCGTCCTAACTTTTAGTCATCAGCATTGCTTTCCTTTCAGAGTTATGGATGCTCAAGGTAAAAGCCGTCTTTTAACCCCTTCACTGCCAGAATAAAACCTCCATGGCAGTATTTTTACATGGTACTAGTTTTTAAGCATTTATTAGCATTTGATCAGACATTTTGATGAAGTTTAATTTTGGTCAACTTTGGCAGTAAAAGGGTTTATGCTTGTTGAGCATTCATATATTTTTTAGTAAAGTTTAGTAACAAATGTTTGTTCTTTTTTAGAATGGGTAATATGAATTACCTGGTGGAGGCTCTTGAAGGATGTGGCCCAATTGTGCTGTGCCTGAGATAAGTGAGTATTCTGTTTAAGGATGGGTTAAACTCCTCAATGCTCTCAATTTCCTGTGAGTGAAAAAATGGGTTATAATTAACCTTCTTTACAACCCTTTGAAATAAAATTTCGTTAAATTGTTCATATGCCAGACAAAACTTGCTAGTCATGATAAAAAGGCTTTTACCAATTATTAGTACTTAGCATTCTGCATTTTCAGGTTATATTACATATAAGAATTGAAGTTTTTTATGTCCTGTCATTGTTAAGACTACTGTGTCTATTTCAGTGCTCAATATGCTCAACAACTGATCAACATGAAAACAGCAACAACAACAATTGTGGAGACCTCGAAGATGGACACCTGAGAC